CGCCCGGCGTTTATGCATGCACAATTAAAGGCATTAACCGAGCCGGCGCTTCCACCACACAGGCTGCACATTGCAGCTTGCTCGCGCACGCTTACGCTTTCTCAAATCGGGCTCAGTGACTCACGGGCTGCTAAGTCACTGCTGCGAAGTGATGGAGTGATGCACACGCTAAGATTTGAGAGACAATGTCTTGGCTTTCCAGAGAGCATTCCAGCCCGGTTTTATAGGCAGCGTGTGTCACTGGTGTTTGGGTCCAAAAAGTGACTAAGGACTCAGACAGGCAAGCAGTGAAGAAACGGGTGAGCCCCAGAGGAATGCTTTCTTCTCCTCTGCCTCCAGCCCAGCCCAAGCGAGTGGGAGCTTTGCTGGCAATGCAGGGACAGACCGTGGCCATGCCCCTTTGATCATGAAAGAAAGTACGGACACAAGGATGGCCACAGTCCAGCCACAGCCTGGCCCTAGCCCACAGCCAGGGCACTTGCACAGCCCAGACGACACTCAGCAAACCTCCCATGATCTGGGTGCCAGGGTGTCCCAGCTCCACCATGCTGCGGGCAGCCAGAGCACGAATGACTTTTTAGGGTTTGCTGTCCTCACTGTGCAAACGAGGGTCAGGAGAGCCGCGTACAGCTTTGCTGAGAGGCCATCTGTACCACACATGGGGGGAGTGGGGAGAGACAGAGCCGGGTATGTGGTCTCCTTCCCACAGCGTGCAGCTGCTCACTCATTGCGCAGAAGTGCTTGACTTTCACACCACCCCATATGCAAAAATCCCTCCTACTTCAAAGGGGACAGGATTGACCCTAGAGGTCAAAATATGTCCCCAAGGCACAAGTCCTGAGAGTAAGTCTCATGAGAGTAGTGCAGACCCAGTTCAGTCCAGCCCTGCTCTATTAACACCATGAAAACCTTTCTGCTGGTTTGGACAGAGTAGGATCAAGGCCTTCAGGCAGAAGTTCTCATGGATTGCAGGAAAAATATGAAACTTTCCCTTTTAAAGATCCCATGGGAAAAACACAGGAATGGTTAAAGGGTCATCATCAGCTTAAAAACAGCTCAACATTTGTTTTCCTTAAAAAATAAGCTCTTACAAAACTTCACAGCACTACAAACATTCTTCTGCTGGAAACGCTTTGAAACAAATAAACCTTTCCCTTCAGCGCCTGCAACCCGAATGAGCAGCATTCCTGACCCTCAAAGCCAGCGAGGCCATGGCCCACAACAGAAGCTCTCGGTGGGTTTTTGCAGCCCAGCCCAAGAGCTATGTGGTCAGGAGAGCTGCAAGGTTAAAATCGCTTCCTCTTCTGCATGCATGTACAGCTGCCAACATCTGAACAACACGGGGTTCACAATGCTGCCAGGGCTCTGAACCCGACGCTGTGCTCACCCGAATGAGAAGCAATGCGTGGTGGAGGTGCAGACCCCACAGTGCTCTTCTAGGACCCCAAGGTATTTACTTAATGACTGCAAGAAAAGGAGAGGGGAAAAAAATGGGCAAAACACACCGATTCCAGCTTTTCAGTGCTGGCTTATTAGTGTAGCATCACTGAGAGCAATGCAACTGCACCTACCAGCTAAGGATATGACCCAGGATCTTTACACCCTTCAGGATCAAGACCCCAGTGAAATTCAAAGACAGTGAAGAGTTGAGGTGCCCAACTTACCAACTCAGATTTATCTTCAGGTCTTAAGACCTCTATCTTGACACCAATGGGACACTGCCATTGTGTGCAGCAGGAGGGAGGATGAAACCTCATTGAAACCTGAACTTGTTGCTCCTTGAAGCTTTCTAGGTGCAGCTAAGGGGAATCTTTCTACAGATGGGAAGCATCTGAAAATCCACAGAGGGAAAAATCCTGGCAATCTCTTGTGGGGGCATGGAAAAGGGAGCAACGGTATTTTCTAGGCTTGCAAAGGGCAGGGTAACAGCTGGAACCATGCTGGGTTTCTGCTGAGTTGGGCACTTTGCGTCCACTTTCACCAATGGGGTCCCCAGACGTGTAACGTGAGCCTGCAGGAGAGGACGTGGAGCTAATCCATGGTGTGAAGAGCCCAAGGAACACAGGGCTAAAAAAAGAAATGGAGAGCTGCCTGAAAGAGTATCTTGGAAATAAAAATAGTGGAATGAGAGCAGTGGGTGTCTTGTCAGTCTCGAGAAGTTCTCCGCGCCAAAGATGAGGAGGAATTGCATGCAGTGCATAAAATGAAATCAGGAGATATCTGAGGAATTCAGGCCTGTCTCTCAGCAGACTTTTCTAATCAAGTGCTTCACAGAGGATATTTCACCATGGTCATTTCCCTCCCCCTCCCTCTCATGCAGACTGAGCCAGGGCTCCTCCTTTCATTATCTTTTTTGTCCCTTTTAATTTTTGTTTTGCCATTTTCAGGAGAAATAGAAACACATCCCATGTGGCTTTTAAAGGCACAGCACATTTCCTTGCTACTGCGGAGCAGCCACGGCCTCTAGCCCAGACCAGCACCTTTAAATCAGAGTGAATTGGGCTCCAGTGGCTTTGAGTTCCCGTTAGCTTTTGCCCTGCCCCTAAACCAAGCACAGCTGCTTTCCTTCACCCAACTGCTCACCCCAGGGTGGGGAATTCACAAGAAAAGACCACCCCGAACAAGGGCTTTTCATTCCTTGCTCCCTGGAGTCTGAGGATGAATTTTCTAAGCAGAAACAAAGTGCTGGAGGGAGCACGAGGGAAAGGCAGGGGAAGAATGGGGGAGTGTGAACCAAACAATGCTTCGATTCTGTCCCTGCTGAGGGGCCGGCATCGCCTTTTTTTCATGTTTCTCAAGTTGCTTTTAAAAGCTGTGCCGGGAGGAAAAAAGCAAATAGTTGTTTCCTTTTGTGTCATGTCTTCTTAATTTCTAAGAGCAGGACCAAAGCAAGGCGCGGCAGCGACGCCTTTGCATGCCGGCAGTGGCATGGCCGCCGGGAGGGCGCATCCCTACCTGACCCAGCCAGGAGGCTGATCCCATGGCAGCACCAACAACCATCCCTCAGCCTGTGCCTGGTGTCTGCTGCTGACTTCCTCCACTGCCAAGTCACTTCAGCCCCCTGGACCTGCTACCCCCTCCTCTTCCTCTGCCCTTACAGCCTGTGACTTGCCAGGCAGGGCCTGAGCGCCTGCCTGCACCTCGTCGGTGCTTCGGTGCCTGGCTCAGCACAGCACCGTAAGGGAGAGGTCTCCACACTGGCACAAAACCAGATCACTAAACTCAGTATGAAAACGTTCCCCCGGCCGCAGCGATGAGGTTTTGCAATTCATAACTAACTAAGAAAGAGAAGAAAGGGTAGAAGAAGGGTAAAAATCAGAACTGCGTGTTCAGCTGTCTGAGGCAGCACCAGCCTCTCCCAGGCTGTGCACGCGCGCGCGCATGCGTGCGCATATACAAGAGTCTTCTAAGAAACTATGGCCAACTAATTGTAGGGAGACTCGGGGGAGAGGAAATGAAATGAAAAATTGAGTCTGAGTTATAAAAATAAGTAATTTTTATCCTACTTGCAGGAGGCTTATATTAATTAAACATTATTACAGCGAATGAGATGGGGAGGGTTATTAAGTCTGGGGCTGGCTGTAAGTGTTCTCTCCTGTTGCCTGAGGCTCCACTGAGCTCCAGATATTAATCTTCTAAAGCACTCAAATGCTGAAGAGATAAACACTTGAAATATGAAAATGTTTTTCTCCATAGCAGACACTGTGACCCTATGTCACGCCAAAGAATTTGTCAGATGTCCATATAGGCTGCACTTACAGCATTACCATGTCTCTTAGAAAAATGCCGAGCACCTCAGGAGCTGAAGAGAGAAATGATGTGTGCATTTGTGTGGGGGTGATTTGTGTGTGGAGATGTAGCAGATTCTCCTCTTCCCATATGTTTCTGGAATACATATTTTCCTCTTTAGCACTGCCTACCAGGTGTTGGCTGCACGGCTTTCCAACTGGCTGGCAGCACTGCCAATCTGGCCAGCGCCTCTGCCAGGTGGCTAACAGGTTCGCCTGAATGTTTGCATCTCGAGACTCAACCTTACCAGGGGGAGGGTGGGGAGGAGCCCACAGCATGCATGGCTCCCTGGGCGCATGGCATGCAGACACTGGAGTCACCGGGCATCAGGGCAGAGCTGAAGACAGGTAAGATCAGCCAGCTGTCCCTGGGGAAGCCTTGAGTTTCATAAGCAATGACTGATAGTAAAGAGAAGTGATGCTATGGTGACGCAGTCTACCGTTATAAGGAAACTGGCAAATGTTCTTCATACCACCCGTGCCACAAAGTCAATGATGGTATGGAAAGGGTACTAGTCCCAGGGCGAGTTCCAAGATGTGAAGCTGAAGAACTTGATCTATCAACCACACTGCCAGAGGCAGGCTCCCTTCCAACCCATGCCAGCACATCTCAGTGAGGTCCTCCATAAATTAGGATCCGCCATGCTCATTCAAATCTTCTGCTTCCAAAGCACAGAAGAGAAAAAGAGCAAAAGTCAAACAGCAAGAAGCTGGCATATTTCAGCATTCTTAGGGCTTAGCTCATCTTTCACTTGCAGGAGGCTGAAATCCAGCCTATGTAAGCCCAGAGTGCAGAACAGCTGAGGACTATAGGCAATCTGAGCAACATATAGGAGGAAGAAATGCATCTCTAACAAATGAGGAAATGCATTCTGGGGAAAAAGCATTGAGTCCTACAGAGGACATTTGGACCAGGATGTTGAACAAAGCCTGGGCTAACCTTCACAGTCACAGGGGATTCAAAGCCCAGTGTCTGATTCAAGGCTATCTCAAGAGGATAGTTAGTATAATTCAGTGCCAGCGGTCACAGTCCTATAAATAAGTCATGAACCATACAGCAAAGCATCTGAAAGTTTCCACAAAAGAAAACGTTCAGCTCTGCACATCCTTCACAACTCTTGATAGCTATGTAATAATCAGTCATACTGTTCACACGGAGAAAGCCCCATCAGCTCCCTCTTCCCTGCTTTGGTGTGGTATTAACCATCTTACCAGGCACAGTCTCAGGGCTTGGTTCAGAGTTGCCAGTCCAGGTGCTTGTAGGCTGAAAAGACCATGTATAACCCGTTGCCAAGTCGTGTGACCAACCACAGAGGTCTTCAGGGAGATCAAAGTTGCAGTTGAAGTTCGCAGGGAGGTGGAAATCTTATAAAAAGAAATAGAAGCAAAATAAAGTTGGATTAAAAAATGACCTACCCATGAAGGGTTGCTATTAAAAAACAACCTAAAACTAAAATAGCTGGCAAGCCATAAATACTGAAGAAAGCATGAAATCTCACTCATACCGATGCTTTTAACCTATCTCACATTTCGTCAGCTCCAGGGATCAGCCTTAAGTTCTACATCATCAAAATGCTCACACCACATTCTGCGGCTAATCCACCAAACTAAGCAAATATAAAAGCAAGTACCAAATGCTTCCAGACTCTAATCAGCACCTTCTCTTCATCCCCTAGAGCGGTCAAATATTAAATGCCTTCTTAAATGTCAGGGAAATGCGCTTCCTGAGTGCCCTGTGCTCATCAGCTCCTGCTCTGGCTCCAAAACGAGAATCTCAAATGCTCCAGAAACCTAGCTCCTGAGTGACAGATCTAGCCACTTGCACCAGACGGGAGCTGTCTGTCAACGTGGCGAGCTGTCACTCACTGCTTCCTACCTTCTCGTGGAAATGCCACCAGGGGAAACATGGGGCCACCATGAGCTCAAGCTTTTGGATTCTGAGTGAAAGGAGCCAGCCTCTATTTCTAGCTCCACTATGGACTCACCACACGGTCTTTGGGCGACTCATTTAACTTTTCATCTGTGAAACAGGAGCAGAGCTAATTCCTCTGTGTCAACAGCTTTAAAAGCTCTGGAGAGCCTTCCTGCAGAGACAGGTCTGTGGGCAGGAGGGCACATGCCAGGGGCTGCATGTAGCAGCGAGGCAGCTGCTGGCTCCTTTGGTTGGGGAAGCAGCCATAAGGCATGGAGGCTGCAGAAATGGTCTGAGACCACCCCAAGCACTCAGCGGACACACACGTCAGAGCCCAATTATAGGCCGGGTTTTTCCGTGAGCAAAGAGGAAGTTTTAAATCACAGTGCTCACAAAGTGAGCGATAGCCAGAAGGAGGTGAGTGACTCAGGCGATAGGCATCAGGGGAACTTTTTGCTGCGAGGGGCAGAAGGCTTTCTTTACATGCTCCCACTTAGAAATAAAACAATGCAGATCATGGATCCTTTTATTCCAATCTAATCTCATACCCTGGAGAGCAGCATTGTTTCTGTTTGGCTGTCATAAATCTGATTGTCCAGAGAAACACACTCATTGTTTATGGAGTATGAGAATGAAAATTGTTGCTAAATCTGAGGGAAGCTGACAGGGAGGCTGCTTCCACGCTCCACAGCATACTCCGCTCGCTCTCTTGCCCTGGACTGCACCCAGGAATCGTGTTGTTGCAAAGACTATTACTGGCCTAAATTTCCTCTCGGCAGCTTCCCAAGTGCCTCAATGGTAGCAGGGTTGCACACTGAGGTAGCAGCGTTGCCTTATCACTGAGGCAAAGCAATGAGAATCAGGCCCTTTGAGCTACTTCTGCAACTTGCATTTCCAGAACTGAACTACAGCAGAATCCTGATGGGAGCTGTGAAAAAGCCAATTAATGTTCTTTTTAAAATTTATTTATTTTAAAACCCATTAATTTTTTCTCTGGGACTGGAAGCTGAAGAGACAGAAGTCCTAGGAGCTATCTCAAAGGATAGCTTTTCCTCATGAGATTTCTCATTGAAGTCCTTGTGTAAATGCCCCAGCCCCAGTGCTGAGGTCCAGGCTCTGCTGTCGTGCCCAGAGGCATGCATCTCCTGCACACTGCACTGTACAACTAACCCTGCACAGCTCTGCCATGCCCTCTCCCCTTAATCTGGACATTTCACAAGCTTTAGATGCTGACATCCCCCTTGCAAGGAGCAGAAGAATATGATGTCTGCTTTTACAGGTAGGTATTTGAGGCAGAGAAGATTAGTCCCCCCCAGCACTGGCTCTTAACAAGCACAGCATGTTGTCTAAACTAACATTCAGCCTCTTCTATAGTCAGAAGAGGCAGGCAAGTGCCACAGATACCAAATCAGCCCCTGTACATCTGACAGCCATCTAAGACTGGGGCGACAAACTCCTGCCTGGAGTTAGTGTTCCCCTCTCTCTGCTGCCTGCACAAGGAGCCCAGACTGTCCTCCTAAATTTTAAGCAGCTGACATTAGGGAAGATGATCCTTAACAGATAGGTGTTCAGGACATCAGCCTTCTCTACATGTCGTGATTTACTCCCACAGTTGTGACCTCTGCAAAAGGAGCCCTGCATATGAGGCAGTCTGAATCTCTCCCCTGAATCACCTTCTGAATTTATGACACCCAGCCAAGGGGATCTGGAACGGAGGTGGCTCTGAACAGGGCACTAAGTGAGTTTCTTCAGGTCACATAAGGAGGCTGGGAGAGCAGCTCTTCAAGTCTTATACCCTAGGGACTGAATTAGCTGCTATCTCTTATTCTTGCATCCTTCCTTGATATAACTTATCAGATTTTGGCAGGTTTTGGTTTGGTTTTTTTTTTATCTTGGCCTATCGCTAATAATATTACTCTAAGCTTTCCAGGAATCAGCCCCATGTATAGGAGCTAATGGGAAGATAAGAGTATTTGCTTGGCTCTTAACCCGTCATTTATTGAGATAAAGATGTGCTGCTCTGATACATACCCTCCTCTTCTCCACAACTATCACCACACTCGGTTGCCTCTTCATCAGTTGGGTATGGGGTGGTGGTCTCTTCGCTCTTCAAAGTGGGCACTAGAGTCTGTGCAGTGGGCTTTACATCTGAAAAAAATGGAGTAGAGATGCTATTTGCAACAGACAGTACAAAAAGCCCAGGTAGGAGGAAACAAAGCAAAAAATCTTTCTCTCATGTTTTTATAATGGCAGGAAGAGATAGAACAAGAATACCATGAAATTTCCACGTGCTACAAATGTCAGCATGGTTTGAACTTCAGGTGAACTGGCTGTTTCCATATGGGAGTTCCTTTGATTTAGAGTTCCCGTTGGACAAGGCTCTCCTCTAGACATACATGCTACTTTTTCTCTTAATTTTTTAATCTACACTGGTGTTGGCAATCCACTTAGCTGTCATTACTGGATAAGAGAGATCACAGGCAGAACGTCTTTTTCTTTCATAAAGGCATATGACACGTTAAAAACCCACACACACAACATTCCCACCAATTGTGCCAATTTATAAAACAAGTCACTCAAACCCACAAATGATGTAACCGCAAACAGACCCAGAGGATCCCCTAGTGTGCTCTGGCTCACTGCAGAAAGCATCTGGTTTCACACTCCAGGCTCCTGACCACGCTTTCAAAGGGTCTCTGTCCAATTTCCCTCTCTCCAACATGGCCCGTGTGAAACAACCTCCAAGCAGGTGTCAGGGGAAATTTAAGCAAGAAAGGGAAGGATATTAAGATCAACAGTAAACGACATTAGGTTCCAGCAGTCTCTCCTTTTACGGGTACATTAACTGGAGTACAGCAGGCTTGATTCTTTCCACTTTTAAAAAGAGCCTGCTTTGCTCAGCTATGTGTGATTGTGTTTCTATGTCGGCACCCTTCAGGATATCATTTAATAAAGCCAGAAGCAGGAGGAAATGGCTAAATACATTGAATATTTTCCATAGGCTCCTTTCTGCCCTTTTATTTTCCTGTTATTAAACATGTTGCACACAAACTCTCAGGGTTTTTTTACTTCTTTTTTTTTCCAGTGGCTGTCTTTTGTTCAGGATAAAATACCAAATAACCTCAAAGTCTTTTAATTTTTAAGTTCACATTTGTTAAACCCCATGCAACCAAGAAGCAAGTTGCAAGCAGCCAGGCACAGAAAAATGTCATAAAAAAGAAAAGAAAAAGAAAAAAGCAACAGGTGAAAGCAACATATCAAAAGCTGCAAGTTATTTAGAGCTGGTACATTTTTTTAGGTTGTTGTTCTTGTATATTGAGATTTATAGCTGAAATGTGACAGTGTGGAAGGACCTTGAAAGTCAAGTCCCATACGGGACACAGATGCTGAGCAGATGTAAATCAAAAGTGTTGCATTGCCCTGGACAAGCCGCAGAAATATATCTTGAAAAGTCAGTTACCATGGCAGAGCCGCAACACGATGGTTACAAGAGATAATGAAAATAGCAGGGAGGACGACGTGATGTGTGAAATGGAAAGTGAAAAAGAGAGGTCTTGCTTGCTCGCTTTCTCTCTCCCTGGCCCAGCAAGTGTCTGTGCAACTGGTGGTAACTGCTGATCAAAATGCAAAGTCACTGAGCAATTGAAACCAGATGTTTGGAACTTCAAAGGAGAGAAAACCAGCTGCAAGTGAACATTCATCAATCTCCACTCTTCAGAGGCAAAATTTTGGCAGGTCTTTGAAAGAAGCCAGTTGCTGACTGCCTGCTTCCCAATTTTTGAGTTACTAGCCAACTAGTTTGTGAGCCCAGTTGCTGTTAAGTTACCTGTTTGACTCAGTAATTAAGATGCTCATTGCTGATAAGAAATAGAAACAGCTGTGCAGGGTACACATGGGCTTAGGCCCTCACTTGAAAATACTTTCGATCAGCTTGTTTTAATCCATCTTTTAATCTTGTTCCCAAGCAAGTGCAATTGCCTGGCTTTTCACAGCCAGTTCTGTAATGTGCCTGGGTCCTCCCAGCAAAGGAGGGCTGTATCTTGGCATTGTCAAGGACTGCTGCATGTAGTCAGCCTGGATTTAGCATGCAGATAATGCCATGGGCTATCTCTGCTCCCCAGGTTGCATCAGGGATATAAATGCTTTTTATAACATGGTGAATCCACAGGATTACAAGCCCTGCTCTGATTACAAAGCTGAATGCCTGCAGATCAATAAAGCTACGAATATTTATGACTTGGCAGTTGAGTTTTAAACATTACAATGTGCAAATGATTAGATGGCCACACTGGGAAATGACCATAAAGCACCCTGCCTGGAAAAAACATGGGCTGTTGCTGCTGATATTGAAACTGAGTGTGGACACGGCTGTAAAAGAAACTTTGGACCAAAAATAGCACAAGAAGTTGAGGATGCCAAACTCCTCCTATTCTTTAATTTGGAGGAGTGCAATGGAGGGGCTGACATGTACATGGTTGGAGGTCTTGTGCGACTGCCTCCCTTTGCGGCAGTGAAGCAGTGCTGTGATGCACCAGCCAGCAATGGTCTGCAGAAATCTGGCAGCTGGAGACTCCCAGGAGCTGCAGGAAGCAGCGATGTGGGAGCTGCCCGACCACTTCTGCACGGAGCCTCAGCTCCCACTGCTTGCATAAAAGCCACGGCGTGTGCTTCTCCTACAACATCCCAAAGATGTTGTAAGATTTAAATTAAGATCTAATCTTGATTTAAAGTTTAGATCATTTACAATGGGTTCCCAGTCCAGGGGGAGATTTGCCATTGACTTCAAAGGTGACAAATGATCATTATTAATTGTGTGTACGTGTGTTGTGTGATTTGCTGTTAAGTGTTTGTAATGCATCTCAGAGCACATCACAGGAGGAAAGGGCAGTAAAGACTCCGCAAAAGGGTGGAAAAAAGCTCTGTGTCTTTTAAGCTTCCTAGAATGGGAATTCTTACAAGAAAATGCCTTCTACAGATGTGTTTATAAAATGGAAATCATACCTCTTTATCACCGACATCTGGACACCAGATTCAGATTTAAGCAGATTATTAAAAAATAAAATAGATTTAAAAAAGGGACAACTAGCCCCTGGCACTGAAAAGCTAGCATCAGATCCAGTGAGCTGTTGGGTGCATTTTTGGCTTTTGGGGATGAAACTATGGAGCAATCAATCACCTTTGAGCCTCAGACGCTCAGAGGTACAACCTCTACTGGTCCCAGTAAGCATGTTAGACAGTTTTCACCTCTGTATTAAAAACAATGGTGGCTGCAAGGCATACCGCTTGTGAAAAACAGGTGGGCAAAAGTGAACAAACTTTCCTGGTCTTAGGAATGCTGTAGAGATGTCGTAGAGTTAAATCCCCAATGCTGTCTGCAAAAGGATTTCCACATGGGGTTCAATGAGAGAGGGACAGTTGTTTTTACAGCAAAGCCTTATTGTGGCAGCTCAAGATACCTGTACTGGGCACCGCACCCCTCTTCTGCACCTCTGCTTCTCTTGCTACTTTTTGTCTTACCCATTTGGATTAAAAAGCTCAAATGTTATCTAACACAGAGACTGGGAAAGCCTGCACAACATCCAGATAAAAGATCAGAAAGGAGGGAGAAGGGAGTTGGGGACAAATCCCGCATGGGGCTCTGTGTGAAAGCTTGGATTGAGGTCCAAACATTGCTGCTACATCCTGCATCGAGGCCAGTTCTTTTTAAGGTGGAAGTAAAAAGATGGGGTCAGGCCACACTGCAGGTCCTGCCTTCATGGCTGCAGTCTCCCTGCCACGGCATGGCCCTGAGGTGGACAGCAGGGAAAGAAATAACCTTACACTTGCACCTTGCTGGTTTAGTGCCTGCCGCGGCCCTGATGGAGCCAGCGGGCAGAGGCGCAGGGGCTCCTACCTGTCCAGTTGCAGCCCAGCACCTCCAGGCGCATTCCTATTCCCGCTGGGGACCACCTCTCTGGATGCACTCGGATGTACTGGGCAGGAACAGGGTCAAACCTCCGGACTTCAGGGATATCGTAGTGGATGTTGCCTTCAAAAAGCTACTGAATGCAAGTTACAGAACACACTTTTCTCCTTCCCCATCACTCAGTGGATTTTTCTTTTGTTCATCCCCTTCCTTGTAGATGGGAGCTGGAGGGGCCATCACAGGAATGAAGTTTAACCCTTTTAACCCTAGTCAGCTGTACACTTCGTCAGTTGCCGGCACTACCACCCTGCAGGATTTTAATGGCAATACTGTCCGGGTCTTCACCAGCACCGAGGACTGGGAGTAAGAAATACAGCAATGCTTTGGGCCTCTGTGTCCTGCTGGCAGGACCGCTACAGAGAGAGAGAGAGAGAGAGAGAAAAGGCGAGTGATGTGTGCATCCCACTTGCTCTCCATCAGACTTGATAATTTGGGTCTGGCAGGACGCAGCCACAGTTTGAAATAGTTTAGCTGTGCGACTTCGGGCCATCGAGTCCAGCTAAGCAGAAATTGGACTGTTCCTCCTCAGTTTCAAGAGGACCAGACAGGCTGTTTCTAAGAAACTTGCACAATCTCTCTTGGCCTTTGCTTTATATCCAGGGGTCAGGTTCTGATCCAAGCCACACAGGGGAAGCCTGGGGAACATCCACTAACTTCACATATAAATCAGATTTGTCCTTTGCCAAATAAAGAAGCTACTGCATGCTCTATAATAGTGTAAACGCTCAGTTTTCCTCACAGTCCAAGTACTGCTGCTTTTCAGCTTACGTGCACGAACTCAAGTCTGTGGGGAATAAACAGAGGGCTATAGATAGCATCAGGCCTTCTAAGACTCATTTGTAGGATCAGGAAAAATTAAAACTTACCCAAATTTTCAGAAGCAGATCAGTTTGCATAAAAACAGAACAGGCAGAAGCAGAGAATTCATTTATTCCTCAAGCCCCCTGCCACTCCCATACTGTTAAGCAGAAAGATTATGGGGAACTCCAACGATATGGGAAAAACACGAGGAATTTCAGGGTCACACCAGTGTGGCAAAAGGGACTTTCAGATATAGCAAATTTCCTGAAAAGAAGTTGTGATTCATCTTCCTCTTCCAGAGGTGCAAGCCACAACAGCAACACCTTTCCCCTTAAAATATGTAATTAGTTTGTGTCAAACATAATTGAACACACCATCCTGTGGGCTCTGACCTGTAGGAGCTGGGAGGACCAGAAGGTGATGTCCACATCCCCAGGCCTGGTCAACAATAAGAAATGAAGGGAAGTTGACAACCCTGGGGCAAGGTGGAACCTACAGCCTCTAGTACAGCTTAGGAGCAGGACCAGGGGACACAACCTGGGATTTCATGGTGACAACTCAAACTCCCAAGGTCTCTGTGGGGAGAGACAGCTAATTTCCCAAGACCCCATCAGGCAGACTGAAGATAGCCAGAAACATCTCTCATTTGCAGCTGCTCCAGGCAGCGCCTACCTTGGCTTGCATTGTTTTGGGGTCCTGGATGAAGTCCCAGTCCTTTCCATTCATGCTGTAGGCCACCTTAAACTTCTTTACGAAGGAACGGGACTCGGTGGTGGTCACACTGTCCCCTCCGCGAGCCCCCTGGATAATGACGCCTTTGATATTCTTCGGGACGCCAAGGTCCACCTGCAGCCACTCCTCCCCAGGCTGGGCTTGGGGGACACGGGGAAACCAGCCCGAGCGGCTGCTCACCAGGCGGGCCATGCTGGGAGACCAGTCGTAGCCTCTGATGGAAGAGGCCGAGATCTGCGAGTCAGGGATGAGGCCGGAAAGCATTCCCAGCAAGTTGGAGCAGGGCGAATCTGCAGGAAAGGAAAGGGCATGAACAGCCGGGGCAACTGAAGGGAGCACTCGTGGTTTTCCCCGCAGGTTTAAGCTCTGGGCACTAAACCAGTACCAGCACTGGGTGTTTCCCCCTTGCCTCCGCAGCCTGGGTGCCTGTCCCCCCAGGTGCATCCCTTGGGATGGGTGCCTCCATGCTGCTCACAGTGTCACTGTTCCCACCCCAAGCAGCCATGACAGCTGCGGGGGACAGCACCACAGGACAGGCTGTCAGAGGGACAGAGGGGAGGGCTGAGGCCGAGGGGAGGAGGGGACCCTCACCAGTGATGCGGCAGCCATACAGCTCCAGCCTCAGGGCGATGCCATTGTGCCAGCTCTGGGGACGGATGCGCACGAAGCGTGTGAGCACCGGGCTGTGGATCTTGTTGAGAACCACCTCCGTGGCATCCTCGTTGGCCTGAAATGTCTGCAAGGGAGAGGGGGCACAAATATGGTTATGTCCCCTCCAGGCAGAAAGAAATAACCAGATCAGCAGTTGAAATAATCTCAGCAGGGAAAACTGAGGAGAGGCTTTCTGGGCAGGGCCAGCCACCGGCCAGAGCAAGCACCCAGGGGCAGGCAGGGAAAGCTGAGCCGCTGGCAGGACAGCATGGTGGATGGACTCGTACATCAGGTAGGAGACGCAGGAGCTTGCTGCCCCGCTGCCCCTCACGGCACCCTGAAGCACCTCAGACTATCAGGCCACAGCTGCTTCGAGCCCGCCCCTAAACCTACAGCTGTTCCAACGCAAAAGGCCAGACGTCCCTGAACGCTGCATGAGATCTTGCCTCCCCTCCATGGGTAGATAGGCTGATATCCTGACACGTCCTCGCACCAAGCTCCACCAGGAAACATCGTGCGCAAGCAGTGGCGTGAGCAGGGAGGATGCTGCCTCTGCCTGGGGTGACAAGCGGCCGTCCCAGCCAGCCTCTCGCCTCTGCCTCTCCGGCGCACATGCAGCCCGCCACACAGAGACAGCTTTTTGGGTGAGTTTATGATCCAACATGATATGAAAAGCCTGCTGCCTTACCAGATGGCCATAATCAATAACTACCAGATGGACGTTAGATCCATCCCTCCTGCCCATTATTTTAATAGGCCGGACAAGGATTGGATCCTTGCGTTTCTGTTTCAGGCTGCGGAGCCATAGCAGGGAAGAAAAGAGGGAAAAGAGAAAATACCCAACCTGAGGGTAATTTTCAACCCTTTTTCTGCCCCCAGCATAAAGCACTAAAGCTCACAGACTGAGGCTGCAGGCATTGCCCGCTTTCCCTCCAAACATGCAGGCTCTCAGAACAGGGCTAGAGCATCCCCCGATCTCAGCCAGGAGACGCATCCGCACTGAGATATTGGCTGGGCTCTTCTGCAGGCTCCTACCCTGCATATGCAGCGCTAAGCACAGGAGCTCCCACTAAGTTTATCTCAGAGCGAAGCAGGAGAGTATAGTCTCTGGCACTGATCTCCTTCTGTCGGAGGCAAGAGACAAACAATTCAACTGCAGATCCCTGTGATCCAGGACAGAAAAAGGGGTGAGGCTGTATCCTGGCCTCTTGCCTTGAATAGCAGTTAAGAAGCATTTTATAAGCCTCTCACCGCTCTAGGCCTGCAGACAGCACGTTACTGCTCTTCTCCCAGGATCCAGCACGCCAGGGCACACAGGGTGTTCGCAGAGAGGGACAGTGGCTGTTCACAGCACCACAACCAGCTCTGGGCTGCCCCTGCACATCACCGCCCAGCCCGGGACGGCGGCACTCCTGTCAGGGCAAGGAGCAGCCACCCCACAGAGGGCCTTGGCTGCAAATCTGGCTGGTAATTGGGATTTGGGGTTGATGTGAACTTGAGCAGAAATGCTAATCTGGAGAATATATATCATGCTGCTACCGTTTAGCAACACAGCACGGCTTATGTGTTTTTAATATCCTATTTTATCCTGTCTGACCCCACTTCCCATCCTTTTCCTTGTTCAGCAGACACCAAATACCCTTTTTTCCAGCAGGAGGGCTATAAGAAGAGTGGTTACTGTGAAACACTCTCCAGGCATGGGGGGGGGGTGTGTGTGTGTGTGTGTGTGTCTTGTAAACCTGTGGGAACACACACACACACAGGCCAAAAGGATACATTTCCACACCACAGCAAAGCCTCCAGCTTTAGGTCAACACAGAAGCTGATACACAACACCTTACCTCTGAACCTAACACCGGAGGACAGGAAATGTTTATCTGAGCCAGTGCAACTATTTTAGCGTGAGGAGCAGCACGTCAGGTCAGCCCAAAGGTCCCTCTGTCCCAGGGGGAGGCTCCTGATGGTGGCCCCAGCAGATGCCCGGGGGCAGCAAGCCCGGGAGAGTCTTCTCCTGGCAACCTCTCTTCGCTTCCCACAATCAGCAGTTTGAAGACTCCATGAGCCAAAGGTTGCATATGGACCAGCATGTTTAACAGTCACTGACGAGGTTTGCTGCTCTTTTTGGTTTAACATATTTCCAGTTTTGTTCTTTTTTAGCTCACTTCGCACATACGAGCATCAGGGGCCAGAATCCAAATTTACACCAGTGTAATTTGTTGCTGACTTCTGCAAAGTCAAGCTTGACAGAAAGCAGAAGCAGGACCGAGCCCAAAAACTTTATCACTACCACATGCATTGCTGAAAGCAACTCTTACACGACCTTAGTCCCAACCACCTGCTTTCAAGGAGAGCAACCTCAATCCTGCTTTAGATTTGGGGCCCAGTAATTTCCTCAGACTAGATCACATTCAACAAGCTATGTAACTCTGAATTGGGGCCTTGACACTCCGAACTGCCAGTTTATGAAGACAGAAACAGCACCTGACTTCCAGCTTTAGTATCAGCCACATTGGCAGGATCTGCCCCAGTGAACCTTGTTTCTGAAAAGCCCCAACTGATCATAGCAAATCATTGCTTCACACCCCGTTCAGCATAACAGAAAGGGGCCATTTTCAGAGGGCAGGTACTTAGTGCTATTAGAGAAGTGGGGTCCTCCTGTGTGCCTGGCCTTTCAGCCTCCTTCCCAAGTGGAAATGCATCGCGAGCCTGCAGGTCCCGAAGCTGCTGACCAGGGTCTGACCCTGAGTGTACGGTTTCTCTGCACTGAAAATGCTGACCCCAGAGCCCGAACGCACTGTGGAGAGAGTCCCATTGACTTGAACAGGCTCTACATCCTGCCTCAAATTAGCACTCATGGCATGAGAAGAACTAGCAGGAAAAATGTGTGAAATTGGGAGCGCCAAGAAAGCAAAGATTTCTTCCCCCTTACCAAAATAGAACATTGCTATTCCTCCCATCCTATCTGCTTCCCATCCCACTCAGCACATATTTTGAGCCAAGTCTTCGAATGGTGTAAATCAACATATCGCCATCAAAGTATAAGAAGTCACAGTAATTTACACCAGCAGAAAAAAAAAAATCTGGCTGTGATCTAGGGAGATAGATATATACACACTCAGCAGAGAGCACACATGCGCACGCGCATGCACACACACACGCGCTGAAGGGTGACGGAGCCAGAAGACAAATGGGAAAACCATTAACAAATTAAAAGCACCTTCCAAGAAGCAGTCAAGAGAATTCATTTTCACTGCTGCATCAAAAAGCTGCCCATCCCCTCCCCATATACTTTATGTTTACTTCCGTTTCAGTCCAGTCGGCAGGTCTACACGTAAAATTAAATTGATAATCAATGAGAGCTGACCTGCTTAATTAATTTGCTGCAGAAAACAAGTGGTGGGAGATGATGTCTAGCCTAGAGGAGGATCGGGCAAGTTTTCCATGTGCACACACATGCAGGCTCCACACCAACACTTACAAGTCGTATTTCTGACACATTGGAACTGCTGCAGGGCAATGAGGAGATTTCTGAAGCTGCATTAGTTCCAGTGGGTATGGGAATTGTGCCAACGGCAGAGTGTGGAGTGAAGGGAGTGAAGGACAGGGAGACAAAAAGTGCCATGAAGTCGAAGAGGCAGCGAGTCAAGGAGGGGGCAGGAGGTAACCTCTCTCCCACTTTATTTATTGTACTGCTTGGCCACTATGCAATTTCTTGGGGAGCTAAAGAAAGCAGCTGGGGGAGGCAGAGGAGAAAGCCAAGGATGGCAGCAGCCCTGCCTTCGTCCGTATGTATGTGTCTCTCTGGACCCACTAGATTTACTGCAGGATTATGTTACTCCCGTGGAGACAGAGCCCTGGAACAAAGCATGCTAACAGGATTAGGGCTTCAGGACTGAGACAGAGAAGCATGAAGGAGAAAAGTAGGGGAGATTATTTTCCTTGTCAGATAGGGAAGGCATAAAATGGGGCATGTTTGATGGTGGGAGGATTCTGGCTCGAGTGGAGGGTGGATAGTTCTGGATTTATTAAATCCAGGAACATGGAGGTAAAAGAAAAATGATACTTGGCAACACTCAACAAAGCACAGCCGTCTAGGCAAGGCACAGCATGCTGGGCTGGGCTTGCCAGCACCGTGTCTTCTGAGAGGCTCCACTCAGATCTGGGAGCCCACCAGGGACACGAGGAGTGGCACTTTGTTAGCCTGCAAAGGAGATATCAGGCCCAGAAGTACAAAGCTGCAGCCTTGCTAGGAAAGCCAGGGCTGTAGTTCTCCCCTGGTACTGCACCAAGGATGAATGCATGGGGCTGCCTTTCCCAAAGCCTGACATCTTTGTTCTGCCTGCGAAAGCAGCAGAAGCAGGCTGGGACCTGGGGATGCTTCTGGGCAAACCCTCTGCACCATGATGTCTCTGCGCAGAAGCACAGTTGTGGCCTTCTGGCTGATTACGCAAGCTTTTCCTGAGTTTTCCAGATAAAGAAGCCACAGGACTGAAAGCTTTTCTCTCCATCCCCAGGTGAATGAACACAGGAGACCTCATTAAGAACTGAAAGGACAGGGAAATGCTCCTAAGGGAAGGCACAAGGGTCTCCAAAGAGACATCCTCAGTATTCCCTGCCAGCACCAAACACCTCTGACGTCCCCAGCTCCATGCACAGCTGAGATATTTGGCTCTTTGCAGCAATTCAACCTGCCTTCTTGCATCCACCTGAAATACCACCCAGGAAGGTTAGCTGATAACAAGCACAAAGCCGTCAAAATGAGTAGGAAATGGAAAATGCACATCAGCTGGATCTTGCTGCCATTTCTCATCCATTGACTTCTACAGGTTCTCAAAGCAAATGTTTCATTTGCATCCTCCCATTTTACACACAGAGCAATGGAGGCAGCGAGAGCACCCATCACATTCCCAACCCACCCCGAATCCTGAAACCCATCCCATCCCCCACCACACTAGATGATCCCTGTGAGCTGATCTCCGCAGTTACTAAGACGGAGTGGCTCAGACCACACGGGAGCTGGAACCCGAGACCCTACAAAGAAGGAAGTGGACCAGAATGGATGAGCACTTTGTTTTCCAATAAAATCCTCATAGCTTAATCTGTCCAAAGAAAGTGGCCAAAAACAAAAGGTCAAATCCTGCCAGGTGCTCTTTTCCTTCCTTGGGTTCAAGAACGAGTTGTTTTTTCTAAAGACATTTGCAAACTGCTAGATAAGATCTCGTCGCACACACCAGGGCTGGTGCCTGGAAGATAACCTCTGGGGCCATCGACCAACAATGACACAGAGGGGGATGCAACAAGGAGGGCAAGAGCCAGAGCAGCATTTCTGGGGCAGGGGTTGTTTGGCCCTGTCCCATGGGGATGCGCTGGTGGGTAGTAAGGGGTGAGTGTGGGGCAACATGTGCGGTGATGGCCGCTCTCCTCCCTGTCTCCTCTCCAGGGGGACACACAGAAGACAGCTCTGCACCTTCGGCCAGGTCGCTGGGTTAGCCTCTCCCCCTGGTCCCACTCCCTGGGCAAAGACAGAGCATCGCCCCCTGGACAGGGGGACATTCGGGGTGTGCTGGGCTGGGCTTTGTGGGGAGCGGGCTGCCAGGCAGGGGGAAAGCCTTTCCTGTTTCCCTAACTGTGAGTGCCAACGGCTGGCGACTCAAAGGTGAGCCATCACGTTTTGCAGGGAAACACCCTGGCCCCACTCTCCGAAACACCGGAGGGAGGGGAAGCGGGGGGACAAAAGAGAGGAGGTCAGAGCTCCCCATTCTCTGCAGAGCGCCATCCCCTCCCCACCCCTCCTGCACTCACTGGTTTTCTCTTGCTTTAGTTCCCTGATGAAGATGTACATGTTAGCTGACCCGCCTATAACACGGCAGAGCTTTGCTTTTGGCCCACACAGCTGGCAGAAGTTCAGAGCAGTGTTTGATACACCCCATATGCCTATGTGTGCATGCGCGCATATATATGTGTGTGTGTGTGTGTGTGTGTGTGTATGTATATATATAGGTATATATATCTGCATGTATATAGAGGAATAGAGAGTCCCTCTCTGTCCACCCTCTCCCCTCCCTCCCCACTCTTCATGGCACCAAATCAAGCCGTGGCAGACTTGACAAATCTCTTTGGCATGGTTCGCTCCACCGTTGCAGCCTGAACCATGCGGAGTGCCGCACTGACACAGGGAGGAATCTGCACCTTGAATACAGACATCTGGGAGCTTGCCTAACGCAGGAACAGCGGGGATTCATGCGGGTGAGGAATGCGGGGCCAGAGCCCCCCGGCATGAGCAAGGGGCTTTGCCCTGGCCCTGCTGCGGTTCGGCAGCTGGCGTCTGGTTGTTCAGTGGGGAGGGAAAGCAGTCACACGGATGCAAGGGGTAGGCGAGCCACCAAAAAGCAATTACTTATCCTCCAGCCTCGGGAGGTGTCTGCTAAATTGAGGCCAGAACATGGGAACGAAGCGAGACTGGAATAAAGGAGTAAAAAAGGAGAGGTTTGATTTTTCCTCTTTTTTATGAAGAGAGAAAACAGAGCAGAAAAAAGCTGATAGGACTCAAGGGCCAAATCCTGAAATGGTGGCAATTCACGTGGCTATGGGGCTGCTTTGGGTTGACACCAGCCAGGATTTAGGGTCTTGCTGGAGTGATGTAAATTGGCCCAGCAGCACTAAAACCGGCTGTGCTGTCCTGCTCCACCCTGGCTGAGGATCCAGTCCAACACCCGGGACTGCAAGGATGGGACATCTACTCTCCCCTGTGACTAAAACTACCCTCCAGGCCAGATTCCCGCCCCAGTTAGACTCTGAAAGATAAATTTAGTGGTTATTTGAAACACTGAACTGTATTTAGCCCATCTCTCTGCCCGGCATGTTGCCAGTCTCCCATCTGCCTCAACTTGCAGAAATGGTCCCAGTGAGACCTCAAACTCGCCCGTTTCCATGGGGTGCCCAGGAGGTGGAGGTGAGGAGAGACAGCCCTGGTTCACAGAAAGGTCTGCTGCAGCCAGTGGGTCGTGGGAGAGCACAGAGCCTCCACACCAGTGCACGGCCACCGCGTTAGGGTTATACGTGAGCTCTGCCATGAGCTCCGGCCCCAGAGCCAGCCCACCTGAGGTCTGGGGGAGCCCAGCTGCTGACTCTCCTATGGGGTGCTGGGCTGCCCTGTGCCTCCATTTCCCTACTTCTAAAATAGGACTAACACCACCTCACTGGCATGTGGGGAGCTTAAATACTCCAAATATTGGAGGTATGAGACCCTGCTAGGGGCCTCTGCACAGAGGGGACTCATTCTGGAAAGCAGAGTGAATTTGAACCATGAGACACACTTGTGGGGAAGGGGAAATCACACGGCCCGGAAGGGAAGGAAATGTCTGGATGAATCCTGAACAAGGCAGGCTACTGCATTTCATGCCAGCAGCGCCTGTGCCAGCAAGGGGAGGGGACAGCTAATTTAACAGAAGCGCTGAGCAAGCAGAAATCGCCTGGACGTACGTGCTGGGGGAGGTGTGTGGGACCCCAGCCACCAAGTTCACGCAGACAGATTATGACACATCAACGGGGAGGACCTGAGCCACAGCAGCAGTGCTGGTGGGCACCACAGAAGAGCAGGGAAGGGCTTTCCTGATGTGCCCTTAACCAGGGGACAACCACATGACCAAGGCAAGTGACAGAGCAGGACCAGCCCGACACCATGGCTGCCTTAACCCCGCTCCCCATATGCCAAAGCTCCCATGTGGACCACCTAGAGCTTGCCTCACCTGGCCACGCAGCAGCACCTGCAAGGCTTGGAAGGGCTGAACACCCATATTTACCCTCCCTCCCTCTCGCTCCCATCTCTGTGTGCCTCCCAGAAACATGTCGAGAGCGTGTAGCAGCTCCCAGGGCTCAATGCATCCTTGCCGACTGCACCTGCTAGCGCAGATCCCACAGCTCTGGCAGCCTGAATTGCTCCTCATTATTTATTGTTCATTTTGTCCTCTGGGGTGGTGCGATACCCTCTTAGGATTTGTGCCCTTTCATTTCCAGGCCTCAATAACTCCTGAACTACAGTTTCATGTGGTTTTGTGATTGTTAACCCAGCATGCAGACGGGGCTATGGCCATAAAAGCTCAATGAATCTTGTATGGCAAAACACAGGCTGTGAAAGCATTTTCTCCTTCATTTGCAGTCAAATAACATACTCTTGCCACCACGAAAGATGCAACAGCAGCCAGGTTTTCCAAGGAATAGTGTTTCCTCATTGCTGTGCAGAGGAGAAAGGACTATTTCTGCTCAGAGCATCATCAGTCTTTTAGCCCTCATCAGAAAAAGGGTCCCTCACAGATTGAACTCTCCGGGCCTGTAAAATCTCTCTGTTCTATTCCCTCCTGTCAGCTGCAAGACTCACCAAGGTGCATGCAAAAGAGACAAAAAGGCCTTTACCTTGTGGTTTTTCCCATGTCGGTACATCATCCAGTCCTCCCCATTGGTGCTGACCTCCAGCTTGTAGGTACGGACATAGTAGCCATTCTGGGTTTCTCTGGAGATGGCACCCTGTGTGGCAATGGCTGTGAGCACAGTCAGGAAGTGGAGGTCCACCTTTCCACGGGAAAAAGGGACAAGAGAGAGAACGGTGACCATCTGAGAGGCCAGGCTGGCTAGTTAGTTACTCCGTCTCTGAAACATGAAAAGGTGTGAATTCAGTCTGTCTCACTCCATCTGTGGGCACACATTTCAACAGGCACAAACCCCCTGGGCTGACTTTAGTAGGATGCTTGCAGATATGACCATGGGACAAGAGCAACTAAGGATCTTGATGTCTGTCCATATAGGACCATCACAAAGCCTTCTTCCTGCCTCAGACCAAGCAACAGGATCTGCACAGAAGCTCATGTCCATTAAAGCAGGACAGAGGCTGACTTTTTCCATGTAAAATAAAAGCATGATGTCCAATTAGCAAGTGCTGCAGTTCCTGGTTTTCCCTTGCTCCTTTTTTTTTTTTTTTTATAATGTGGGTTGAGAAAGGTCAGCAGAGCTGGCTTGGTAGCACTGCCATGAATGAAGAATGAGACGTCTGCTAGAGGCAATGACATTCACCACCTCCCGTTCCTAGTGCCCTTTAGCAAGCAGTGTCTCACAGCGAAGCGACACAGCCAGAAGCCCTGTGCGGACAGAGACTGTGGATGTAATCAGCTCCCAGGGAAAGCTTTTTGCTCTGTCAGCCTCCTACCTGACGTTAGCCTGCTCACACTCCCTGCATCACTGATGAGATAAATATTATTCTAGTTGTTTTTCCACGTGCCTCCTGGAGACTTTGGTCCTCAGGCCAGTGGTGGAGTCAGTGGCCCTTGTAAGTGGCAGAGGTCCCTCAGTCTCTGTCAGTATGCTGGAAAGTCCATCAAGGTTTTGGGCAGGAAGGAGGGAGTGGAGAGAGACAGCAGGTTGAGTCAGCCCTCATGCAGGCACGCTAATGGGAGAGCCAGCCTGTCGCATTTCACAGAGGCACTGCAGCTCCCCTGCTGCTCACTCCCCATGAGCCACAGAGGCAATAAAAAATTCAACAAGCCTTATGGTCACGGGTCAGTTTAACAGCGTGACACTCCATTTGGTGCGGGAAGAGGCAAGGAGGCTGGAAAGCGTGCGTACCTGGAGGTACTCTTTGTTGCTGTCTACATTGGGGGTCCAGCCGTTGTCATCACTGTTGAGCCGGCTCTGTTGAGGGGTCCATCGCCCATCTGAGTAGGTGGAGGAGGCACTGATCTGCATGTTGGAGATCCTGCCAGACTCCATCCCCAGCGGCACGTTGCACTGGAAGTCTGGAGCGGACACACACATGCACACATGCAGATCAGCTTACAGTCTCTGTACTTCACTCCCACGTAGAAGGCAGCCCTGAACTATTCTCCCCAGCTAACCCCAAGCAAAGCTGCCTGCCTGGAAAGATGAACAGATCTACACCATCTTGCAGGTTGCGTGTGGTCACAGATGGTACTGAAAAATTAAAGATGGGGCAGCTTTATGTTTGCATGGCCCTCTGAAAACTAATACAGTCCAGATCTTTCTCCCTTTCTCTAATTCCTTCACCTTTGCACAGTTTTGACACAATTCTGTCCCTTCCCTCCCTCCATCTCCACCAAGATGTCCCAAGTCCCCTTGCCACAAAGTTCCCCATCTTCTTGAAGGCTGGAGGTGAAATCTAAGCACTGACAAGGCAAGGAGTATGGGCAGGCACAACGGGAGGGTGCTTACTGCTGTGCTGCTGGCAGGAATGTCCAGGCCTGGAATGGGAAGGTCTAAAGGTTTTGTGTGCGTGTGAGAGTATGGATGCATGCGTGTATGTGTCTGTGTATATGTGCATGCGCTGTATGTGATATCAGGCCCATAGGAATTAACCAGCCAAGAATATGAAAGACTCTGGTATGCTTTCATTTGGGTTTCCTCACTTCTAAGGCTTTAAAAGTCACAATTAGCTCAATCTTACTGCACATGTCATATATTTTATGGCAGCTGTCCTGAAAAAACAATAGCAAAGAAAACATTGATAGGAAATACTGCATGGGCCCAAGCGTGCCGCTGCTGTAAACCAATAGGGCTCCACCAAACTGCCTGTGTTTTTAATGTGGCCAAGTCAATCCTGGGTGAAAACGATGGGCCAAGTTAAGATCTCAGTGGTATTATTAAGGTTTCAATTTTACACCAGAATAAATCCAAACAGGCCCAGCCCTTTAACAGCTCTTGTGCTTGATTTCTCAAGCTTGTGTGTCATTAACATTTTATTCCCTAATCCTTTTAAAGAACTGAATAGAAAGGGGATTAAAGAACAGGTCAACTGAGTGTGGATATAGGTAATGGTGAAAAGCTCATGCTTGTCTGTAACTCTCACAGCCTCAGCAGAACATCCCTAACTCAATCACAGAGCAAGAGCCTGTAACCCAGCTGCCCTAGTGCTGCACAACCCCTACTCTACCCTGCTCTCCGTCATGGGCTTTCCGTGTCGGGTCAGGGACCCCCTCTCTTTCTCTGGGACTGAGGGGTGTCCTGAAGGCTTCTTCTGTTGTATCACAGGTTCACTGCTAACAGAGGTCAAGAACTGTAGCTCTGATGTAAAAATACCATGGGAAAACAAACTGAATCTTTCCTCGCCTGCAAGCATTATCACAGAGAATCAAAATGCTCTTCATTCTCAAAACACACAACTTACTTCCTCACTCCACATCAATTTACCTCCCTTAATAAAGGATCTAAAACAAATTTTGGTTTGAAATTCTTAGAGCTTTAGGCATTTTTTAATTAGACAGCCAAGAAATTCCAATTTGTAGTTTGGGCCTATGAATTTTTGGAAAACCAGAGAGAGGGAGAGAGTATTTTCCCCCATGCTTTAATGAATCTGCTGCACCCGCTGGGCTGAAGCCTTCCCTTAAATCCTTTGGGCTGAGCACATACATGAAGGATTCTATCCCAAAAGGTATTGAGAAGGCTTCACAAGCAAGTGAAAAGTCAAAGAAAGGTTAGAAAGTGTGATTCTTACTGCAATCTCACTTCTATGAGAAACAGAGAACACACCTAGTGTAACTGCTGTCTGCACTGCCAGTGGGGGACCAGCCCCTGGACACACTCCTGCCTGCCTCACTCTCGCATGTGCCAAGACTTGGGAAAAACAGGTGACATGACCGCCTAAAGTCATACACACACGTTTCCAACTTACTTTCTGGGACTTCCTGCTGGATCAAGTAGTACTGAGCAGAGAAACCGTCTTTAGCCACTGCTAGATCCGTGTGGAAGGTGAGCGAGAGGACGCCGGTGGTTGAGCGGATGTCCGATGGCATCTTAGTGCCACAGTACCTGCCTATCAGGGGGCCGACTGCAAAAGAAAGAGCAGCAAAGGTAATGCCTGCTTTTCCACCGGCCTCCTAGGTCACCAGCAGATTGACATCACTCAACAGGGATGCCTTAGCGGGACTGATCAGGGTAAAAGAAAGGCTTTGAGGATGGGCTATTTTTTACATCCGTTGGCCCAGTGCCATGCAGTGCGCCATGCAGAAATATCCACTGCAGCAGGCGTTGCTCTGCAATTGCTGGGAAATGCTCCAATCTGCTCTGTTTCTCAGTGTTGGTACGTGGCAGGGAGGTCCTCCCAGCACTGCATGAACCCACTGCCCTTCCCTGAGGGAGGACCGGTGGTATCTTGGAGTGTCCTATGGGGCTTTTCAGATCAGTGGTTACAACAGAGCAGTAGTTTGGGATTTAATGCATGCAGCCTGCTGTAAGCGCATCATCCCCACAGCCAGCCACGGAGCGCCTTGATGGCAGGCTGCATGCTGCAGCCACGTCTCACGTAAGGCACCTTTGGTGTTCAGACACAGACTGCACAGTTTTGGAGCTTTGTGAGGCTGAGGACAGCAGCACAGCACCCCATGGCTTACCCTGAGGGATGCCGTCCCAGATGTCCAGCCAGTCGTATTTGCAGTCTCCTTCCCCCGCCTGCAGCGGGTCGTGCTCGAGGTCGAAGAGCAGGAAGTGGAGGAGGATTTCTGTCTTTGGCTTGGCTATGATGGTGAAGACACAGTCCAGGTTGTGTGGATACTTGTCAGGGAAACCTGGAGACTCAATAGTGCCGTTGGAAGCAGTGAAGTTTCTGGAGCAGTCCTCAGAGCCTGTAGTGGCAGGAAAAAACCCGCAGCCTTAGCGACAATGCAGCTTAATGCCAACAGCTTGACACACTGTGGAAACCCCATTTTGAGCTTAGAGGAATTGCGTATTCACTTCTGGAAGTGTCCTGTAACCCAAGAGCTGTGTGAATTCCTGCAAGGACCGAGGGTGATTTTCAAAGCTTTCCACAGGTGGAGAGACAAGGTCTGTGCATTCACTGGAGTGGACAGCATGTGTCTAAATCCCTCAGACAGCTCTGCAAATGTTACCCATGTGCCACTGCTGATCCCCCTGCCAATTACTCCAAAACCAGGACTAGGAGAGCGATCCCATCCAAAGCCACCCAAAGCCACAGCTGCGATTTGGCAGGTCAGCACCTTGCCATGTCCCCCACGCCAGTGGTGGTGGCCCTGGTGGGGAAGGGAGGCCATGCCGAGCTGGGCTGGGATTCCCCTGCCAGCCCTGCACACTGTCTGCCGGGCTCCCCAAACAGCACCCTGCTGGGAGACCTGTGTCTGCTGCCTCAAAGCCCGTGGAGGGGCTGGCCAGCACACAGGGGGCTGTCGTATGTGGTCCTCGCTGCCATGGCTGCCACCCGCCAGCTGTGCTGGCAAAGGGCCACAGCAGCTCCAGGTCTGACGGAGGAGCCCCCGTTCAGGGAGGGGGCTGCCTGGGAAGGGGCAGAGAGGCATCTCTTTGGAAAAAGCTGTCCCCAGGGGCTGGTCTCCTGCAACCTCTCCCCCTCCAGCACGGACATCTGTGCCTCAGTTTCCTCTTGAGAAAATCAGGAAGCACAAATATTTACATAGTGAAAGGGCCCGGGGGAGGGTGCCAATGTCTCCACTGTTAGCTGGAAACCCTCAGAAACCCTCGGGAAGCATGCAGTTAGCCTGCAGACCCCTGAGTGCCACGCAAAGGATGAGGGGCAGCTACAGCATACGGCCCCGCTCCATGGCCGTGGCAAGAGCGGGGGTAATGGGGGGCATCTCTGCTGAGAGGAGGAACAGAGCCCTCCTTCTTACAGACTGAGCTGTCCGCACCAGAAATGCAAGTTATTTCTATCCTTAAGGAAGACCTTTGCGTGGCAATGAGGGCAGACAATGTGGCCTCTTATTTATTGCTGACCTCAGCACTGGCCTCGGCTGCAGCCGGGCCAGCTCCCTGCCCCCTCTCACACAGCCAAGGTGCCTCGGGGTGGCCGGGGAAAGGGGAATTTGTGTCGTATTCATACCACGGTGACTTTGAAACCACTGCACTGTGGAGACAGGACAATAGGCAACAGAAATCTGCAGCCTGAAGCTATCAGAGGCGAAAGGGGATGTTACGAGAGGCTGCCGGCCACTGCTGCAACCCAGCGTTAGCATTCGCAAAGGTTTCTGCTTCAGTTTTACTGGGACACCCTCCTTCTCCCCTACAAACCCTTCTGCTCCGGCTCTTCCAGGCAGCATGAGCCTTCCTGGGACTAATGTGAGACTTGTTATTCAATTCAGCATTAACCTACAGGAGTCAGGCCAGCAGCCCGCAGTAATAGCAGGATCCCGGCACTGCATTATGCAGCGCCTAGCTGGAGAGCTACTCAGGAGAGGCTCTTAATTGACTACCTAATGAAGCAGCCAGCTTTTCTGGTGTGAACCTGTGGGGTAAAACACAGAGGCAAAAAATAAGGCCAAACACAAATCACAGCATAACGCTGCAAACAGGGATAAGAGTGTACTTCATTCCAAACAGCTTGAAAGACAAAGAGATAAATAGGGAAAATAACACAAGCTCCAAGCTAGGGAGAAAATCAAAGACTAAACCCAGAGTCAGGGACTGTCCTCTAGAGACAGGAGAGAGACATAACTATGTCACTGCATTAGACAACAACAGTTTCCTCATGTGGGGCTCTTACAGCACTTGGCATCTTTGTCTACAGTTTGGCTGATACCAGCAGACGCAATGATCAGGTTTTTTATAAGGAAGCTGCAGATAATCAATGGGAGTCATGCTGGCTTCGGCAGCACCGACCAGCCTGAGAGGAGACTTTGTTGCCCAGCAATGGAGAGCTCAGGCCAGCTCTGCCAAACTGACTCGCAAAGTGAGCAGCAGGGAGGCTGGACCAGCCAGGGCAGGCGGCTCTTTTGTCAGCCCACAGACCGCTGACTGATACCCATCAGGGGATTCAAAGACTGGTATGCAGTTGTTTGTATGCAGATTGCTCCTCTCTCACACTGTGATAAGGGAAATTTAGCACAAGGTGTGGAAATAAATGCTCAGTTGAAAAGAGTTGGTTTTTTAGGTCACCTTTAAGAAAGAAAGAAGCTGCAGCCACACTGCCTTTACTGATGTGGACAATGACAATCCTATGACCTTTAAAGCTGGTGACACCCTTACTGGCTACGCTGACAGCTCAGAAGGAAACTTCACTCATGCCTGTCTGCCTGCAAACAAAAGGCAGGGTTTGCTTGTACTGTGGTGGCCCTGCAGCCAGGGCTGCTCACCGCCCTCCCTGGGAGCCTTGCAGGTGGGTGGGCTGGGGGTGCTCTTGGATCACAGGCTTATCCCTGCTCCTGTGCCAAAACCTGCCTTGCTGGGCTGGATTTTGTGGGCTGTGGCTGGAACTTCACTCATGCCTGTCTGCCTGCAAACAAAAGGCAGGGTTTGCTTGTACTGTGGTGGCCCTGCAGCCAGGGCTGCTCACCGCCCTCCCTGGGAGCCTTGCAGGTGGGTGGGCTGGGGGTGCTCTTGGATCACAGGCTTATCCCTGCTCCTGTGCCAAAACCTGCCTTGCTGGGCTGGATTTTGTGGGCTGTGGCTGGAAGAAAGCGTGGCTGTATCTGGAGAGGATGGCTACGGGGGGGGGGGGGTGGGACTAAAGGACGGGGGGGGGGGGGGCGGTGTGACTAAAGGAGCCCAAACACCACTTCAGACCTGAGGGCAGCTCTACATGGACCTACATAGAGAGACACAAACTCGGCTCCATCCAACATCTGCTCTCTCCCAGAGCAGCCCTTGCTTCCTCTCACTCCCTACAAAAATCTCAGACAAAATCTCCTTTTCCCATTAATTTGGCCCTTGCTGGCTCTCAGCTAGGCAGACAGGGCTCCTGCCTTTGTCACTGCCCACCAGCCGCACTCAGCCTGGCCCGGCCACTTCAGCCAGCTGGACCACATTGCCCCGTGCCCGACTCAGGGCACGGACCTGATGTGGGGACAAGCACAACCCAGTGCAGTCTGCTGGGCTCAGAGGGGGTGTGTACAGGGAGGGAGAGGCAAGGGAGGATGAGGTGGGTCAGCAGTCTTCCCACCTGAACTCAAGCATTCTTTGCCATCCTCCATGCTGGCAGCTGGTATCAGCAAACCCTAATAGCCAGGTGAACCACTAAACTCTTTCAGGATTAATCTGCATCCTAACCATTAACAAACAGCAGTGGTAAGCTGGCTGCACCACAACAGCTCAAGGGCCGGTTGGTTATACAGCCCAGGCAACCACCAGCAACAGCACTTTCCTCATCCACCTGAACCTCCAGACACCTCCTGTCCTCACCATTTCACAATGAATTTGGGGAGTCCCATTCCCATCCTCTTCCAGCAGAGTCTCCACATTCACATCTACCTGTGACTGGGTTGCGGGCTGCCTGCGCACCTCTGCCTGCCGCACAGCTGGGCCAGGGCCCCTGGGCACTGGTGCCTGTGCTCCCTGCCTTCCCTTTGAAGAGGCTGGTTAAGTGACCCTGTTGTGCTCCTTTCTGGTTCTTCACCAGGCGTGGCCATTTTTTTTCATGCCGGATGCGATGACGTGAAAGCTGCATGTGTTTTCTTCCAACGCACCACCAAAGGGATGTGGGCACAGGGCGGGCACCCGCATTCCCATGCAAAACATACTCTTGTTCCCTTGGCACGCAGGCACACCTCTCTCACCTGCACACACAGAGCAGGTTTTATTTTCTCAAGCCTCCTTCTTCCCAGACACACAATTCTGGCAAATATTTAAACAGAAACACTATTAAAAGGCCTTTGAGCCGCTTTTCCTTTCCTCAATAATAGTTTGGTATTAAACAGAATTATGAATAGTTCCTCTTATATGTGCCTGTTTTCAGTCCCTTGAAAACCAGAGCTCCCCAGTTACAAACCCCGCTTCCAGGGACAGAAAACACAGCACCATTGGTCAGCCCTGAATCACAACTCCACAGGAGGGGGAGCTCCATGCGCTCCTAACCGAGGGACAATAGCCACTTAGCCCTAACAAGCTCCACACATGCCAAGGAGAAAACTTAAATGTTTCTAGTCCTCGAATACAAGAGAGCATTTAAGGAGGAACCCTGCTTTTGGTGCCACACTGTGATCCAAAAATGCACTATCATGCACCACTAACATCTTTACCTTCTTGGAAATGCGATGCAACAGACTTGCTTAAATTTAAAAAAAAAAAAAAGAGCCCTTCATCTCTGGAGAACATGCTAAAAATCATATTGAAAAGGTGGCCGAAGACATCTCCTTGTGAAGATCATCGTGGCAAACAGCCTGGGAGACAGGCACTGACTCAGACACTCACCTGTCTTGTAGATCTCGTAGCGCAGGGAGAAGCCGGCACCTTGCCGTGCATAGTCCGAGGTGAACTTGATATAGAGAGAGGGGCCAGAAGAGATGATGGTAGGAGGTGCTATATTCCCACAGTGCTTGCCCAGCAGCTCTGCCGCTTCACTGTCCCCATCTCGGATCTCAATGTAGTCATACCTGTGGAGGCAGATGAAATGGCCGTAAAACCATCTGTCAGGGAGATGCTTCAGGATGCCAGGAACAAACACAAAACACTTCTTTATATCTGCATATTTCACAGAACATCTTCCAGACAGGTACCTGGGACTCTGTCACTCACACCACAGAGCCCCCAATATGTTTTTCCCTTTTGTCTGGCTACATTTAAGTCCCTTTCCCTGTTGCTCCATCATTAATTTATTACAGCCACATCCACTTCAACTTCAGAGCCAACATGCAAAATTTAGGATGCAATTTGCCTCCATTTCCACAAGACTCCTTCAGCATGGGGAGAAGCTCAGATACAACTCTCCTGGGGCTACTCTCCTTCCCTTACCTCTCTCCCTAAGTGCCATCGTGCTACTTAGCACTGCTCAGTTTATTCCACTATCCAGGTGGGATCTGGCCAAGCACACACCAAGCATTAAACAAATAGTCAATGTTCAATCCATGTGAGCGGGTAGCTATTTTGTGCACTGTCTGACACCACATTGGTCCTTTAACAAGTGTGGCTGGTATACTTACTTAGCACTTGGACAGTAATACTGATCCTCTTCTATTAAGTGCTATCAAAGATTTCTGTGGATGAGAAGTGCCGCATAAGAGCTGGGTGACCACATTCACTATTGCCTGACCCTTGTACACCCTGTAACCACAATCTGCCTTTGCTAAACCCCACCTGGCAATGCCCCACCTGCCCACCGGCATGGCTCCTGGGCATCTGAACCATCTGGGGGAGGAATCTGTAGGTTTGGAAGAACTGCCTCCTGGTACAGGGACAAAAGCTTGTTGCAAAGTCTGGCTGGAAGGTGAAACTCCCACGGATTCCTTCATATTTTCTAAGCCATGACTAATGGCAAGGTACTATCAGGCTCTGCGTGCTGTGAAGAAACAAACAGCTTTTACGTGAACATCTTGTTCTTCAGCTGCCTTCTAACACCCGCGCTCTCCTGCCCCTCTTCTCCTCTCTGGCCAGCATGCTGCTATTTACAGAAACTGCCCATCTCTTCGACTGTTTATTCGCTTTGTATCAACCTGTTTGAACAACATGCTACAGCTCTTCTCACGGGGCCAGGGAGGGAAAAAGCATTTCCAGGCTGCCAGGAATCTGCCTTTCTTCTTTGTCACAAGATCTCCTGTTTGGGAATGGGGAGTTGAAAGGAGAAGTAGCTTGCCGGATACAGAATGATCCTCATGTGACTCATTCCTGTTCTGCAAAGCACACATCGGCAGGCAACAACCTCAAAACAAACTTACAGGGGGACTCAGTGTGCTCCTCCACAAAGAAAAATGGCCCAAGCGGCTTCAGTTTCACTCCTTTCTTGGACTAAATCAGGCTGAGAGCCAGAAGCAAAATGCCTGCAGATAAAATCCTGTCTACGCTGGACCAAGCACTTAGCTAGCTGCAATCACCCAGCTTTTAACTTCGTTATAGACTCAATTGGCTTGGCCAAGGTGAAATCCAAGTGGTCTTGAGAAGAGGCACTTGCACAGGAAGAGCATTTGGCTTAGCTGGTGGGTGGACACACAACGATGTAAATGAAGTTCTGTTCCCTCTGCTCTCTCCTCAGTTCTGTGTGGCTCCCTATCACCTCGTGACCCCTTATTACCCTGACACCATCCAGCAGCACCCTGCATGACCCCACTAATGTCCATCATGTGTGGCTTGATCCCACAGTCTCCCCAGGGAGGACGAACATAGAGGGCAGTGTTAGTGCTTCTTTTAAGTAGAATTTTTTTCCTCTTTGTTTGTCTATTTGTTTAAAGTAGCGCTGAGCAAACAGCAGGGACATTTTGTTCTCTAAATAACTACTCGCTCTCAGTGTGCTTGCAGCCCTTCCACATCTGAAGTACATATCTGTGCCGCAGGACTACCGGCTACTAGTGAAATTGTGAATATGTGGCAAAAAATTAATTTGGCGAAAACATGAATGTTGGCAAAACACAGTTAACGGAGTGGACTGTAAAAGCTGCCATTTGCATGGCAGAGGCAGAGGTTAGCTGCATCCCAGGGAATCACATCTGTTTGTGTCCTCATGGGGTTATAACTCGCCAACACAGTACATGGCTTCAACTACTTGACTGTAATGATCACAGCTTTGGCTGTAGCCAACACACCAAACATCCTAGCGCTGTCCACATGGTTCCTCAAACCACCCAGTGCTGTAGGAGCCCTGGCAATTTCAGAAGCAAATTCTGGACCAAGAAATATTTGCTTATTGAATGGGTAAATAGCTTCCAATAATACATACAATTTGGGAATATTGCAATCTGCTCATGGGCAATCTGCAAATGGAAAATTAAAAGAATTAATCTAGTAAGTAAACCATCAGGAAATATTTGCCTCTCTGAATTAAACCCTGTTTGGCTTCATCCAAGCATCTAACTGAGCTTTCTCCTACTGGAGCTAATCCTTAATAAATCAAATGTTACAAACAACTAAAAAAGCCCCTAGGAGAAGGTCAGGGAATCATTTTTGCCAAATGTAAAATGAATATAAATGCATAAGTTTTCTTCCCTAGTTAAAAAAATCTTGGCCCAAGCCCTCTGCTCCTCATGAGGCAAAATTCTCTTCAGGTCATATAAACAGAATGTGAATTGGGAGAGTATTACACTCAGGAAATAACTCCTGCCCAGATGAGCAGGAGCACCTACTTCCTCTCCAACATAGCAATTAAGATTTAGGCTTTCAAAGTGAAACACCAAAGACGTCTGGTCCAAAACATGAAACTTGCAAACTTCAGCAAGAACAGTGGCTAATCCCCACCCTAGACTCTTTTGGCATCAGGTGCTTCAGTCGTGTCCATGCCTTGGCCCACAATCAAACAAGCTGATAAACCCCATTCTCCTCACGTTGGGTCACTGGCCATGTTAAAATCTAGTTTGGCCAGACCTTTGCTTCTGTTAAGCTTAAGCATGGTTTCCAGACTTTGTTCTTCCCGTGTGAAAAACAAGAAGAAAAATGGAAAGGAAGAAAACCCAACCCTGGGGATGCTTCCTACTCTAACCATTTCATTTCCAGATAATTACAGACTACGGCACAGCTGGGTGGGACATATTTATGCAGTGATGGCATCCAAACTGTCTTGACCAGTGCCCAGCAATTTGCATTTCACTCATATAACCAAATCCATTGTTTCAGTCAACGTGCACCAACATCCTTGTGGGCTGACCTCTCTGGCATTACCTCCACTGGGCAAGCCGCCATCTCCAAGCACATTTCATGGCCACTTCTCCCCATCTAGGCACTTCTCCAATGAGCCAACCATAAATATGTAAGGGCAGGGTGCAGCATCCATAACCCACAAGTATAGTCAATGGATTAACCAAGTCTTCTTGCAGGGAAAATGACTGCAGTTCGCTGCTCCTCCAGCAACAGAGTATTTTCAGCTGTTGCTTGAGTGGGAAGGCCAGCCAGTTGGTTTGAAACCGCCTCAAACAGAGGTTTCCACTGCGGAGTTTTAAGGCAGGGAGGCAAAGCTGAAGTGCTTTTAACTGCCCAGACAATGGGGGGTTGAGAAAGAAGGAAAATGCATTGCTTAGATGCTCTTCTTGGAGCTGTTTAACAGAATTAAATGGAAAACGTACAATGCTTACAAATATTGCTGCGTTTTTATTAAAGATTTTTAGTAGAAAGTGCTTTGCTGATGTTAAGAGAGCTTTTATAAACTAATTATAAAGCACTTCTAATGCCTGTATTACCCATGCTTGCTTGCTTTTTCCTCCAGTCAACCCTCTCTGCTTCCCAGTCTTTCCTTTCTCTCTATTTTCCCTAAGTCACTTTGCTGCTAGCTCTCCAAATAAGGCTGTGAGGCACAATGAAGGCAAACAAGCCCCAACTGCAGTGATTATGAGAAGACCTCCACCTTTTCAGTCCTTTTCTGTTGTGAAATAGTTAATCTGCTCCCTGGCCATTGAGCTGTGCTCCATCCTCCCCCAAGGCCAGCACAGACCTCCCAAGTGCCCACCCAGGCACTGGTGAGCTCCAGAAATGCTGCGACCCACCTGGGGAGCAGCACCAGAGAGCCTGTGCCATTCCTCTGGGTGCTCCTCTCCTGAGGCACACAACTCAGCACAAAACACAGTTTTGGGACTCATACTGCTCCACGCATAATCAACAAACCTATCACCCCTCAGCCCCAAATCCTAAGAGATGCTGAGTCCTTCCCCACTGAAACATGCTTCAAGGACATTACAGGGACATTAGCTTAGGATGGAGAGAAACACGAACAATCAATCAACGTATATGTTCATAGCCGTAATGTAAGTCCTCCTGATACATAAAACTTGTGCAAGCCTTGCTTCAAAGCCCAAGGCGGGCTGGCTCCCCAGACCAAGCTCTGACCTAGCTGGCAGCTTTCTCAGTCTCTTCCCAGAGCTATGATTTGGAGTAGGTGAGGGCTCGCACGCAGCTAAGCCCAGTTTCCAGTGCTTGCCAGGGCCAGAGAGAGTTGCAAGGCTCTAACCTGAACTTCCCCAATGTTTAATTTGGAGCTGTTATTTATAGGCATTTCCATGGGGCTCATGACTGCACCTGGCAAACAGTAACGATGGGATCCTCACGAGACCCTGAGAGGTGGGAAGGCAGAGGGGAGCAGTGGCTGGCCCAAGGTCACACAGGAAGTTTGCAGCCCAGCCAAGAATAGAAGCCAGCCTTGATTAGACAGATTATATTATATTGGAGGAGTCTGGCCTAGATAGACAGGGAGACAAATAGGTACTGACTGCATGCCAACAGCCCCAAATTTGGGAATGCCCAGTGTTGACTTGAGCCTTCGAGACCTCTGGTCTGCTTGAACCATATGTCATGGTGTCTCGAATGCATCTGCTGAGAATAGGAAGAGAAACTACAATTCTAGTGAAATTCAGCAGGCATTAATACACTGCAGGTAGCTGGGGGAAGGTGTGGGGAACCTGCTTAGCTGTAACGTCAGCAGGTAAATGCAACTGTTCCCTTTGAAAAGGTGGCAGGTGGTTTG